AAACATCTCAATCAGTTCACGTCACGAGGGCGAAAAAAAAAAATCTTTCTTCCTACTTCAATGACAGCCAACGCCATCTGTGTCTCGTACATCAAAAAGAAGAGATTTGTTTTTAATATTGTTAGATACAGCTAATCAGTTTCACAACACTCCCACCTTTTTGATTTTCAGAAGGAAAATCAAAAATCAAATAATGGTATCCTTAGTACAGGAACACACTTCTAGAGGGTACAGTTTACGTACAGGACGAATCAGTATGCCATTTCTAGTTTTCACTTTTACAACTCTTACACGTCCATCTCTGCTTGTACAAAGTTCTTGGACACGAGCAATTGGCCAGTTCACTCTTTTAAGGTTCTCACAACCTATTAGCACGATGTCTCCAACTTTTAATTCACAGTCCTTGTTGTACTAACTGTCCAAGGTACTCCTTGCGGAAACGGCTACGAAATTGTTCTCGAAGTTCCTGGCAGAAACGCTGACGAGCCAAGAGTTTATTTCGATCTAAAGCATCCAAATCTGCTGTACCTGAAACCTTAATGTCCTGTAAGAACATGGAAGGCGTTAATGGTAGAAGATCCTCAGAGTCATTTGACACATAAGTAAGTGGTCGACAGTTTATTACGGCTTCCACATCACAGATGACGGTGAGTAACTCTTCGTAATTGACTGCAGCTTGTCCTAAGACTCTCACAATCAAATTCTTGGCTGTGCGGAATTAGACGCTCCCACCATCCGCCCCACCAAGCAGCAGTGGGCGGAATGAACTTCCAAGTGATGGGATGCAAAGTTTCCTGAGCAATTACCTTTACCCAGTCAACCTTTTTCAGCAATGCAGATGTACCGACGAAATTTGTGCCGTTGTCTGAATAAACTGTAGATGGCCGACCTCTTCTGGCTATGAACCGACGAAACGCTTGAATGAAGCATTCGGTACTTACGGATGTCACTAGTTCCAAATGTACACATCTATATACAGCACACGTAAACAGTACTACCCAGGTTTGTTTTTATTTTTTTTGAGAATCAGAGGGCCACATAAATCTATGCCGGTAACTTCAAATGCGAAAGCATCTCGAACTCTGTCTAATGGTAATTGAATGGGTGCAGTAGTTGGAGGTTTTGCTGAAAATCGTTTACAACGGACGCACTGTTTCACCACCGATCTAATTCGGCGTCTTGCACCAATGATCCAGAATTCTTCTCTAATTATAACAGTTAATGCTTGTACGCCGGCATGAGAATGCTTTAAATGGTAATCTCTAATTAAACAGTCAACAATATAATGCTTAGAAGGTAATAAAATCGGGTACCGGAATGCATAAGAATCATCTCGTTCGGTGATTTTTGTTTTTACTCTTCTTAAGCCACTCTGATCTCGTACGGTCAAAAGACCATTGATGGAGTCTCCAGTCTCTGGAAAACTCTCCCCCTGAACAAGTGAAAGAAGTATAATTTTAGATTCCTTTATCTCGGAAGCAGACAGAAAAGGCTCTTTATTTACAATTTTCTTTTGACAATTTTTGATAAATCTCTTTATCCAACCTAAAACTCTTAACATTTTTGAAAATTTAGAGAACCTCTCACACCACTTAACTTTATCTGCTTTTGTAGTTATACTAAGATTTACATTTAAATTTATGCCATTCCTGCACTCTGAAAAAGCTAAAGTTTCGTTTGGCTTAACGTCTAATTTTGGCCAGCTATCTCTAGGGCCCTTGAGCCAAACAGGCCCTCTCCACCAGTTTAATTCGAAAAACTGAAGAGGGGCAACAACAACTAGACAACCATGAGAAGGTAAATCAGCTGGGTTAGAATGACCTGGTACATATGACCACTGATTTGCTTTAGTGAACGTGCAAATTTCCCCCACGCATCATTTCTTTAATCCAAGATTTGTCCGTGGTGGAATCAGTCCAAAAATATTTTGGGATGCCATCTAATGTAAGAGCTTCTGTCACATATTTAAAAAGATGCACGATTAAAAGACATTCCATAAGATCTAGACAGGAAATAATAAGTTCTTTTAAGGTTGCGACTCTTGACTTAGCTACTACAAAACTGACTAATGTTTCTTCTTTAGTTTCACGTCTCAAAAATACACTGCTGGCCACCGTAAATGCAACACCCTGAAGGAAGCACACAAATAACATGAAATATACAACATGCTAATTACCGGAGGTGAGATATGCAAATGATTAGAATTTCAGCGCAGACGCCTGTGGTGCCACTTCAAAGCACGATTTAAGGCTTGGAGTTTTCGGCGATTTCAAGTGCGGCAATTATGTTTTTTTTGTGGTTTTTTTTTTTTTTTAAACGATCAATTATGCCTCGCAGTAAACAGCGATTATCGTTTGATCAAGTATTCGAGTTCGACAGAGAAAGGATAGTGGCCTACCGAGAGTGTGGATTATCTTTCAGAGAAATCAGTAGTCATGTTGGACGAAACCAAACAACTGTAGTGCGGATATGTGACCGTTGGATGCAGGAGGGTACGACGGGCCGACGTGTTCGATCGGATCCACCTTGGTGCACCACTTCACGTGATGACAGGAACATTGTGCGCATGGCAGTGACAGTTCGCTCAACCACATCACAAACCATAGCACAGCACATTCAGTCTGCAACGCATCATCCAGTGTCTACACGTAGCATTCGCGCCGTTTACAGCAGAGTGGTCTGTCCGCAAGACGTCCATTGCTTCGTCTACCCTTTACGCAGAACCACAGACGTCTCCGCCGCCAATGGTGCAATGAAAGAAGGATGTGGACGGCAGAATGGAATGAAATTGTCTTTACTGTTGAGTCACGCTTCTGTCTGCAACACCACAACGGCCGGATTCGAGTCTGAAGATACTGTGGAGAGAGGATGCTGAACATCTGCGTTGTGCACCACCACACTGCTCCTGCACTGGGTATTATGATATGGGGCGGTATTGGAAATCACTTTCGCACTCCTCTAATGTGCATTGCCGGTACTTTAAACAGCCAGCGCTACGTCTCCGAGTTGTTGGAGCCAGTTGTCCTTCCTTACCTTCAGGGCTTTCCCACAGCCATATTTCAACAGGATAATACGCGACCACATGTGGCACGCATTGTCCAAGGGTTCTTCGTCAATCACCAGAGATTGAATTGCTTCCCTGGTTGGCTCGCTTTCCGGATCTTTCATCAATAGAAAACATGTGGTCCATAATTGCTGAGCGATTGACCCAGATTACATCCCAAGCTCCACACCAGATCAACTTTGGCAAGGTGTGGAAGCTACTTTGTCTGCTATACCCCAAGAACACATCCAATGTCTCTTTGAATCAATGCCGAGACATGTGGCAGCGGTGATCTCCAACAATAGCGGCTACTCTGGCTACTGATTCTGGAAGGAACCACAATTCACAGAAGTCTATAAATTTAATCATTTGGTACTTGGTCAACATGTTATGTACTAAATAAATTTTGTTCTGATATCTCTTGTCTTTCTTGATGTTGTAATTTGGGTGGCCAGCAGTGTATTACTGTGGCGTAAGCATGCTCATCTTAAAATACATGAAGTGTCGAGGAACTTCTATCTTCAAAACCTATACGTCGCAGTATTCTCAACTTATTCAAAATTTATAATTTATTGTACCACCCCGAAAATTTATTTTGTATACTATCTGGTAATGGAGTATCCCATTCTGCTTTTATTGGCCAAATTTCTTGTAGCAGTAATTTTGCAGGCAATAAAACAGGTGTCAAGAAACCCAAAGGATCAAGCATTGTCTGCGTGAACAGCAAAACCTCTCTTTTAGACAAATTGTCCGAAACCAATACAATCTTAATTTCATTGTAAAGGTTATCATCTTTTCTTTCCCACATAATCCCTAAAACTGGTACAGAGTTCTTCATTGTGGACTCAGTGCACAAAGCACTTAGTAGCTTTAGTTCCACATTTTTTTCTGCTGGGCCATAGGTCTTTATACGCAAGTTCATTTTTGCTTCAGCTAACATTTCAATAGAATATTTCACAAAATTCACAAGCTCCTTTTCGTTATCAACAGAAGTCACACAATTATCAATATAAAAGGATTTATTTAATTTCTTAGCAAGAAAACTTTGTTCCTTTGGTATTTGTGCCAAATGAACTGAAATAACTGCCCTTAATAGAAAAGCGTTGGACTTTACTCCAAAACTACCCTTGTACAGTGGAAAACCTTCACCACATTATCTTTCTTCCACCATTAAAAATCTTAAAAAGTCCCTCTCTTCTTTCCGTAATTCAATCAGTAAAAATGCACGCCGGATATCAGAGGTTACGCCAGTGCATTAAATCTTAATAAAATTGAAGGGATTTCTTCTATTAAATTTGATCCTTTTACTAAATAATCATTAAGGGAGGGTAGCCCACTAAACTTGCACACAAAATGGAAGCATCTTTGCCTTTGTGATTAACAAATTCATCTGATGCACAACAAAATGTCCAACCAAGTTTCGTACAACCCGCTGTTAGCCCTCCTTTTAATTGTTTTACTGATCCTGTGAGAATTTTGTCATAAATATCACTACCAATGAGCATTTGTATTTTTGGACAATCTGCTTCCAAATCCGACAACCAAATGTTATTTTGTTTTAATTCCTCTAATATCGGAACCTTGGGTACCTGAAGTCTATCCCCACCTATTATGTCTTGATCTAAAAATTCAAATTCTAGATCTGAATACATATGCTGACTGTTTGAACATAATTTTACCCGATATTTTTTATGCAACTTTGGTTCTGTTCTGGCACCTCCAAATAAAAAGAGCAACATTTTCTTTGGAGGCAATTGGTAACCCTAATTCAGTGGCTAAGCAATTTCTGTCTATTAAATGGATAAGTAGCCACCATGTAAACTTTTAACAATATTTCAAATTTGTATGCTACAAACTGAGTGATCACGTTTGCCAAATTTTGCTTATTAAATTTGGAGACCTCTTTAAAAAGGGAGTAAGAAAGTGCTATTAAATATTTCACACTCTATTTTGATAGGTATTGTCCATCTATAGAATCCAAAGTTTTACGTTTTGGTGGTCGTTCCCATCAAGTTTGGCTAGAACCTGAAGGTAAGCAATTTTTGCAAAAGACATAATATTAGAAAAACTTTTTAATTTTGTAATTACTATATATAAATATTATTAATTTTTTAGGCTTGGATTCGGATCTTATATATCCCCAAGGTCTTTCATGTACTCTCCCTGAAGACCTGCAACTTAAATTGCTAAGGTATTTACCAGGCCTGCAACATGTGGTAATGGTAAGACCAGGTAAAATTTTTAATTAATATTATTTTCTTTAAATAGGTCTCACAATTTTAGGGGTTACAGCCGAAAACATCGCGGCAAAAACATCGCAGACGGAAACGTAGCAGAGAAAACAACGCAAGGCGAAAACGTCGTGCTACAAAACATCGTGGGAGAAAACATCGCAGTTCTAAAACATCGCAGTACAAAATATCGTCGTCGAAAATAAAGCGGTTCAAAACTTCGCAGTTAAAAACATCGTCGTCGAAAATATCGTGGTAAAAAATAAAGTATCTACAAATCATCGCATGACGATAACATCGCAAAACATGCTAACTATAAATGGATATTCCCGTAAATATTTGTGAGCACAGATGGAAAGAAGGATAATTTGTTGTTCATATTTTATATTAACTATAAATTCTTGCTGAGAAAATAAGAAGGAAACTTAAGCATAGAAAATTAATGCAACTATAGGCACTTAATAGAATTTTAAACCGACATAGTTAACTAACAAAGACCATTAATAAATCATTTTTTAAAGATTTTACATGTAATTTTCATAAAAAGTATAATCTATAAGTTGCATTTAATTTTCTTTGCTTAAGTTTCCTTCTTAATTTTTCAACAAAAATTTATTAGTTAATAAAAATGTGAAAGTAAAAATTATCCTTCTTTTCATCTGTGCTCACAATTATTATGGGAATATCTATTACAGTTATTAAAGCCTGATAAAGCTGTCTGCGATGTTATCGTCATGCGATGATTTGTAGATACTTTATTTTTTACCACGATATTTTCGACGACGATGTTTTTAAACTGCGAAGTTTTTGAACCGCTTTATTTTCGATGACGATATTTTGTACCGCGATGTTTTAGAACTGCGATGTTTTCTCTTTGCGATGTTTTCTCCCACGATGTTTTGTAGCACGACGTTTTCGCCTTGCGTTGTTTTCTCCGCGATGTTATCAGCGGACACCATTTTAGGTACTTTCTGATTATTTACATCCCCTTAAATCCTATGGTAAAATTGCTGTGTTTTTGCTTATTCACTGTCTGTAAAAATGTAAATATTAGCCACATACATTATTGTTTTTTCTCTTAAGATTTCTAATAGGACATAAAGATAAACAACCAAATATTTTTTGTCATTTCTCCAGTGTCACCAGTGAGTTGGCAACTTTTCCTGGGGGCTTGGATAGTCAGAAATTATGAAATTTCAGATATTAAATTTAGTTATGTGTAAAGGTAATAAGAATTTAAAATATAAATTTATTATAATCTTAATTATTTAGTTTTGGTAGTTACATCTCGGAGCAGGAGTTTTAGATCGGATAACTAAAACACATCATGCACAGTTGAAATGGGGACAAACAGACAGGGGATAAATTCTTTTTTAATCAGCATATTCAGAATGGAAGTTCAATGGCAAGGCAGGCTTCTTAAGTATAGTTTTTTTATGCCCCTCCCCCCGGCATTTAAAGACCAGATATTGGCTTTCCATTCTATGTCAAATTCTTAGTTTTGTAAGCTGACAAGAGATTTGAAAAACTTTTCCATAGATTTAAATTTTCATTGTGGAAGAATTTATTATTGTGCTGTTGTTAGTTAAAAGGGTGCTAAAACCAAGCTTCTGGCTAAATTTCAATTTCTAATTGAACTAAGAAATGAAATTCAGGAGACTTTGTTAGTGGAGATACTAGGTTTTCTTCAAAGGTTACAAAGAGTCCGATTTTTTCTGTAGACTTAGTAAGTGATCTAATGGGGAAATATGACTGAAGAAAGAGGGTTGCCTCGAGCCAGCACCCCGTGTGTCCTCTCTTTTCTGAGAGAAAACCGCTATGAATGGGGAGATCTCAGTGGAACCCTAGGTTCTAAGTAAAGGAGCTTGAGAACAATATTAAGTGCCTAATGATCAGCTAGTGAATTGCCCTTCCAGCCCAGATAAAACATTATTTATAATCTTGCATCACCCCAAAATGAGTCGTTACTGGTCAATATCGAACAGAGCTGGAGGATTTCATCTTTGTCTGGGTATTGTCATAACCGAATTGGCTCTTCTTGAACAGAATGATCATCTACAGGTTTATCTGCAATTTATGTTTTCATATTCCTGTTCTCTTTTTCTTTATACATTTTAAAAGAAAAAAGTCATTTTTGATTCATCCAGTTAACACTGAAGAGGAGAAATGCCATAACTGAGGGTTTGTACAGTACAAAGTCCAAAATCTGGATGTTAGATCATCAGTTTAAATCTAGTCAGATGGCATGTAAAAATAATAAAATTTAAAACATGAAATCGTGATTTATGAAATTGTGAAGCATTTATGATCTAAAGGGTATCAAAATTTACAAGAAAAAAAGCCTAATATTTATTTGTTTACTTTATTAAACATTTCTTTGAATGTAAGTTGTTTAAGTTACTTCGTTTTTTGTGCTAATACTCTCAATGCTACATACAGACATAATTTCTTGTTCAGTTCCACTGTTCAAATCCTGTAGTTGCTGAGTCGAGAATTCCAACTAACTTATCAATCGAAATTTTTTCGTTTTCAATAAACTCTCTGTCACTTTCTTCACTATTGGTAGTGGTATTTTCTGAATCTAGAACCATACTACAAGTTTTGCCGTCCGTTAATTGACTGATGATTGGAGCATTGTCATTGCAATAAAAAATTATATCATCTTCATTTATTGCTGCTTCTCCACACTTCTTTACAAAATCCATTAACTGGAAATTTTCACCTGTGGTTTATGATGTCTCAAAGCCTTCAAATTCGTAGCTATCACTTTCATCATCCTCGCCATGAATTATGCCAGGCATTTTTTAAAGTATCTGGAGGCACATTTCCTACGATCTTGTGATACTCCACACAGCAGATTTTATGCTAAAATACTTTTTAAATTACCACAATCCAGAAATTTAACATGAATTTTAAAAATGCTACTTTATATTTGCATTTCAGCATGCGCACTATTCTGATATCCATAGGCTGAATATAGGACGTACAGTTTCGAAGAAAGAATAACACAGATACATTATCTTTCATTAAAATTTTTAAGTGAAATATGAGCCAAACAGTTATCTACAATCAGGACAATTTTTGCGTCATCACGTAAACCGACCGAATTCAAATTTTGCCGAGCCTCGGTTATGAAATGATTTTCAAACCTATCATACATTAACGCTTGTGTCATCCGTGTTTGCTTATTTACATGATATATAATGGAAAAACCTTTGCTCCTTTAAATGCTCAAGGTCGTGTATTTTTTTCAATTATGAAAAGTTTACACTTGTGCTTTCCTGCAGCATTTGCACCTGCTAAAATTGTTAGTCTAACTTTGGAATCTTTGGCACCAGTTGGAGCCTTTTCTGTAGAGGTTTCCAAGATATTTCATGGGACACATTGCCAAAAAAGACCAGTTTCATCAGAGTTGTAATACTGTCCTGGAGGTAACGTTTCACTGTTAATGAGTTCAATGAATTCATCTGCAAATAGTTCAACAGCTTTTGTATTAGCTGAAGCTTTTTCACCTGAAATTTTTAATTGCTTATACCATGGTGATTTTTAAATTTGCTTAAACAACCTGTCAAATATGTGCACTCAGTTCATTTCTTCATTTAATATTTTGACTACTTGACCCATCAGCATTATACCTGTCAATGTCACGCCCCTCACTGCAACGTTGTCTGACCCATCCAACCATCACTTTGTCATGATGATCAATTTTAGCATAGTGAAGAATTTTTCCATTATTCATTGCGAATGGGGTGTCAGAATCCACAAAAAATTCATAAAGTTCCTTTTTCTGTTATGTCATATACAGTTGACTTTCCAATGTCATACTCCTTGCATATCTTCGTAACCGATATACCTATATCCATTTTTTGCAGCAATTCCACTTTTTATTTAATGGGCATCGAAACATGCTTTCGCTTTGTAGATCCTGTTGCAGCTCCAGAATTAGAAACTCTTTTCAACATAATCGAAAGTTCAAACTTTAATTTTCATAAAATTGCTGTAATGATAACAGCTGGCAAAAAAATAATATGTTAGATCAAATCAGAAAGTTAAAGGAACAGTACAATCTGATATATTAACTGAAATCATTTGGCATCAGTAAAGTATAATTTTAGTCTAGCTTGAGAGTGTTTGCGGTTTCTAAATTTTGCTACCAAGCATCTTCCTAAGCTTTAAATTTTTGCTGCCCATTAATTTTGGGTCCCTGTGCTTTCCCAAAATTCTAAAAATTTTATCAGCCCTTTATTTTGTTACTTGGTGCTTCTCTAAATGACAGAAATTTTGTCCCTAAATTTTTCCTGCCAGTGCAGCCATACGAGCTTTGTCACCAGTACTGGGTTTACAAGAATAAAAATTTATTTTATTAATTCAAATAGCACTTAATGTAATCTTTTGGCTTATGAGTATCATTAACAAAATCTATTTTTAGCATATGGAAAGAAATTTTGTTAAATCTTTCCTCGTCAACATTTAGCGCATTTGACTTAAATCTGTAATCATAGCCAAGCGTAATGTCAACATAAAAGATTCCCATATTCCTTGTTATTTATTCAATTGCTAATATGAAAAAAAAAATTTATATGTATCGCTGCATGAGTCATTACTCAAGTTGTCGTGTGTTGATAAACATACAGTGATGAAAGCAAAATATAATAATGGTTCACCAGGTTAGCTCTCATCAGGGATTAAAATATTAGTAGTTGTAAAATCAACGATGTTTCTTTGTAGAATGTTTTGGTTTGAGATGTATGCCAAGCACATATGCAGCCAAATTATTGATCACTCAAATTTATGCTAAAATGATTGGTTCTTCAATAATGAGGTGTTTTATTTAGTGCTGAAATGAAATTAAAAATATGGCTTCTCCACATGTTTTCTTACAGGGGAAAAAAATCAAATGCTCATGTGGAAAGCATAAAAAAAATTCTAAAAAATTTTTGGTGGTGGTTTTAAGGTCCGGATTTTGGATCATTTTGGATTTTGAACATCCTCAGACGTTCCGGACTTTGTACCGTATAAGTGTCTTTTCGAATTTCTCGGGATGCTCACAGTTGATGCTTCTAATAGTTGTTTTGAAAAAAAAGCTACATGAAGATCTGGACTTTCATTCTGTAAATTAGTTTTAACTTATTGCAGTATTTTTCTGTTCTTATGTTTTGTTTAAAGACATAATTGCTCTGTTAATTGGAAATACTTAATGATAGGAACTCAATTCTTGATTTTAAATTATTTGGAAAACTTCATGGTAATGCTCAATTAGTTCTATTGATAGAAACTTATTCATTTATATATTTTGGAATTAGAATGCTGAAAAGCATAAATAATTGTTAGAATAGTAATTTGCATTTCTCTCATTCACAATTGCACTGAGCAGAAAAGGTGAACTATGTAACTGCACGGAAGGTTCCTCCCAATTGGAGAGAGAAGAACAGACAAGAGAGAGAAAAGGTAGTGTGTCTTCCCAGTTCTGATGATGCTGAAGTCTGACCTCTGTGCTATGCCTATCTGATGTTTGCCAACATGGCCAGCAGATTCTCTCAAGCATGGTGCAGAAACATGATGTATAGAGTCCTAACAAGGAACAACGCAGTGGAAATAAGAATCTACTCAAGCATTCTGGATTATCGTTCTACATCGCCAAATACCTGCCTATATGAAAAGGACTGTTAAGCATAATCAAATTGTACCAATCTAGTACATTCGAACATTGTCCATCGTATAATTTCATTAATGTGTCATAGTCTGACACGATACATTCATCTATGTTGTTAATAGTTAAGGATAGAAAGTCACTGATTAAATCTTATGTTACTTTTCAACTTAGTGCAATTTATACTTCTGTAACAGAGAACCTTGGTTCTACACCCATCACGACGCATAACTCTTAAGGTTATTTAAATTTTTAAATCAAAATTTTCAAATACAATAATAATTGAAGTATAATGTGTGTGCTAGGAATCTTGATTAACTTGAAAATAATAAAAGGTTTTTTTGCAAGGGTTTACTTACCATCTATCTTAATAGACATGTTTAATCTAGATATTTAATAAATGTGTTTTTTAAGTGTTAAACCATGTGCTCCAAAAACTGGACATCTGATAACTGGAATGGTCTAATATCCAGACCTACAGAATTTTTTTTTTTCTTAAAAATCTTATGCAAATAGAGAAAAGATTTAGATAACGAGAATAGCATATGCATATTGCTTTATGCATGCACAGTAGACATTTTTTCATAATAAAGCATATGGAGGTTTTTGATTCTTAATTTCACTTCGGCACTAAATAGTACACATTCATGTTAAAACAAAAACATTTGTTACAATAAATCTGTATCATCAAAGTTTATCACTTATTTTATGCCTACTGAATATCATATAATACCTAATTAAGCCATAGAGCTACTTGTGGTCGGGTGGGTAGACTGCTGCATACAACTAAACCCTCTTGCCATCCTGGTGAATAATTTTGGTATTTTTTGCTTTCATCACCACATGACTATCAACTCACAACAACCTGAGAAATGATTCATGCAGTGATGTCTAAACCAATTTTTGTTTTAAATATCAGTAGTTGAATACTGAACAGCTTCGTAACCCTTTGTGTTGGCATTACAAACCATGTCTCTTGCCCTCGATTACAAACTCAGTTATATTTGCAAAGGTGATTTTCTGTTGGCTACACCTTTCATGACGTGTGTGTGTCTGTTTATGATCTGTAAACTATTCTTTTAACTAAAAATTATTTATGAACAAAAACTTGACAAAATGCATGGCAGATGCCTAATGGAAAAGTACCTTTTTAAGTATTTGTGAGAATTTATTTCATCAGGACTTGGATAACTCTTTAAACGTATGTGGGAAATAGATGTAAGTATTATAAATACAAAACTAGTGTAATTTAGGGTTAATTTCATCAGCATACAATAGGAGCAAGACATATTTTACCCAAACAATATGAATCATAATTATTGATTTAATGATATTTTCCCCGTCTTTTACCATATTAGTTAATTGATTTATTTCACTACCAATAGTGAAAAAGTGAGAAAGAATTTGTTAAGAACGAAAAAATTTCAATTAACAATTTAGTGGGAATTCTCGACATAGTAATTACAGGACTTGAACAATGGAATTTTGTAACTGAATAAGAAATAATGTCTATCTGTAAAATTAAAGAGAAAGTATAAGCATGAGAAATGAAGAAACTAAAATAACTTATGTTGAGAAATGTTTAATTATGCAATCAAATAATTATTGAGCTTTTTTTTTAATCTGGATTTTATTAAGATCATAAATACGTCATTATTTCATAAACAACTATTTCAGCTTTTTAATTTTATTTCTGCATGTGATCTTACCAGATTTAAACTGGTGATCTAATATCCAGAAAATTTCCAAATATGGAATCACCGAAGTCCCAGTGATTCCAGATCTTGGAATTTGTACTGTATTTGATTTTTCTTAGTGGTCTATTTAGTCATTCCATGTCCACTCAATCAGAAATCTATGGAATCTACAAAACAGGAACTTAGGTTATGATACTCTTGATACTGGAAATTGACTAAGCTACTGGGTTACTTCAGTTCCACCTTGTATGACTGTCTATAAACTTATCAAGGTTTAGAATCTTCAGTTAGATTTACTTGTTGAATTTTAATTTGCATTTATAGTGATTGACTTAGCATGTGTTAATTATTATCTCTGGTGTCATCTATTTGTATTATGGTTTTCTAGGAATATGTTTAAATGGTTTCTTAGTAGTTAAGCTATTTGTAACATTGGAAAAGATTGTGTACTTATATTTTATGTGAATCATGTGTAGAGACTTTAACAAGTTAAAGAGAAACTATTTTTAGAAGTGAATTGAGATAAAATTTAATTATTATTGAAAACAATTTTGACTTAATACCAAGGTGCTGGGGATGAAACACCTTTGCAAAGCTGTAAGTATTTTAATGGGTTTAGACCAGGTTCAGAGAAGAAAGTTTTTAATAAGGCATGGCAGAAGAAGTTTAATGCTAATATTTTTCTGCATAACAATTTCATAGAATCCCACAAATATTTTCATGACTATGAAAGCATAATTTCTGAGTAAAACTAATATGGTTTAAAAGAGGTGAATAGATAAAAGAGGGGGGGAAATATCATTAAATCAATCATTATGAGTTGTTTTAAAAATTTATTTTTTTCATATTTTTATATATAAATATCTATTTCCTATTGAAAGCAGGTGATCTCAGTGTGTTATGTACAGTAGCGTAAACCATGAAATCTTTGCACAGAAAATATTCGTACATACTGCTGAAAAAAAGTGGCTTTGCATGTATGTTCATAAGCACTGTGAGACAGCTGAAAAAGAAAAGGGCTATTCTTGTGTAATGCATATGTACACTGCGCAAAAAAAGAGGGGGACAATTCTGTATCTCCTGTCTTGTTATTGTTTACGAATTGACAAAATTCATGTCTCAAAAGCACGATTTAGCATATATATTAGATTTAAATATAGCATTATTTTAACATAGGTATTTTGACACAAAATGGGACTTTTTCTGAAATAACATATCATTTTTTTTCCACATTTCAATTCTACGACTCAAACTATGCCTAAATATTAAATTTTGTAAAATCTTATGCGAAATTTACGAAGAAATTAAAAAATTTATCTTGGCACAATTTTTTCTCGCGCCACGAATAATTCATGTGGCGAACTTCTTAATATATGGCAACCTATTTTCCTTTCATTTCCATTATGCAGGACTGGAAAAAAGTCACATCATTCTTACTTTCAAATAATTTTAACAAATTGCCTAAACCACATTTGATGTTATTATCGTTTTAAATATGCCAAATTTCAAAACGTGCCAATATATAAATTCACATATATCTTCGGAAATTTTGAATCAAAAACTGTAATTTTTTACAGGTATCCTTAGAATTATGTCTACTTTAAAGTGATGGTAAACATTTTATAGGTTATAATTCAAAACGTTTTCAAAAAATTTATAAAAATTATTTTTAAATACAAATTTTAAAAGCAAATCATAAAAAGTGGGCGAATTTTATTTGGAATGAAACTAAATTTCGAAATGTTAAAGGAAGCATCAGATTTTAATTTTAAAAAACGTATTAATAAATATACATCAAATTAAAATTAGCATTGAGGAACTAAAATTTTGAGAGCTATTTTTTTTTTTTAAATTACTCATGCGATTTTTGCAAAACTTGGCACTTTGGCATAATTTGAGTCGTAAAATCGAAATATGGAAGTAAATGTGCATGTCATTTCAGAAAAAGTTTCAAAAAAACCTATATTTGGACAGTGCTATATATAAATCTAATGCATATCCTAAGTCGCGCTTTCCAGACATGAAAAACACAATTTGAATTTCGTCAATCAGCCCAGTAGAACGGAAACTGTCCCCCTATTTTTTTTTTTTTTTTTTTTTTTTTTTTTTTTTTTTGTGTGTATGCATATTTACTTAAATGTTGTATTAAAATCAACTTAATGAATATTTATGCTATGAAGATATTTTTATTGTTAATTACATTGCCAATATTTATAACGCCTACTGTTCAAAATTTGAAATTTCTCATTTTCAGTATTTGTTAGAAATTGCTTCAAATGTATTTTTGGTCCTTCCCACTGTATTTCTAGGCTATGGTGTAGAGTATGATTTCATTGATCCAAGACAATTGAAGCCATCTTTAGAAACATTTAGAGTAAAAAATCTGTTTCTGGCAGGACAAGTAAATGGTACAACTGGTTATGAAGAAGCAGCAGCACAGGTGATTGTTGAAATTTTAACTTATTTCGGTACTATATTTTCACAGCCTCTGTTATCAAAATAGCACCAAAATTATCACCAAATTTAAACTCTTGCATGTAGTCTGTGGCTGCCATATCTCTACAATTGCTTTTAATATCAAAAGGCTTATCTTTCCCAAAGGATTTCCTACACGTGATTTCCGAAATGTACTGCTCTAGACGATGTTGAACCATATCCCTTTGTTTTTTGTTTCGCCATCTAACAGAGTGCCACAATCTTTCCTTATTTTGGGGTGAGCACATAGTTGGATCAACAAAATTAAATGTGTAATATGTGTAATTTGCAGTTAAATGTCTATAAGCAGCTTTATCAAGCTCGTCTGTTGTATAAGCTCTCCAACAATCTGAATATATTGTCAATCCTTCCACAGCATGGTCTACAATCATTGAAAATGTTCTTGCTTTCTGATTTGGAACCTGAAAAAGAAAGCACTTGCCACTTTCACAGCATAATTTGCCCAATATCCACTGTTGTATAAGTACCCTGTAAGTGTTGTTTTTTCACCATATGAACAAACTCTCATCAATTTCAATTATTTTTTCAGGGCCACCTATTCATCCTTTAGGCTGTCAAAGTAAATCTAGTTAACAAACCTCTGTCATAAAATTGTTCCAGTCAATTGTGGTATTTTGATAGATGTTGAGCTCTTTATTGCACCACTTAAGCAACTTTAGTTCCTATTTCCAACACTAGATGAAACACGGCACTGTTAGGAATGGTATTTTGGAGCTGCTAAACCAGTTGTCGAATCAAATGCTCTTCTTTTTGTTTACTTTTTATGTTGCACCTCCACATACTTTCGTTTACATATAATTTCATTTTGTTGCCATTTATGCATTGCTAGGTAATATATATTTTTCCTAGATGAATCATATGACATCTTCCTCACTCTTTGGTAAATTAAAGAAAAATATTTTTGCAATATTTAAACTGAAAAAAGAATAAAATGTCATGCAATTTGCCAAATTCCACAAATAGAAGTCAAAAGAGAAAGCACTGTTTTTTATATCACTGAGTAACATGTTTTTAGTGTTGAACTCGAGAAAAGACTATTGCAATATCACATGGTTCATTAAATTTGTTAAAGTACTGTTTTTTACATAATTTGGTGGTTTATCATGGGGGCAACATAATTTGGTGGTTTATCATGGGGGCAGTGAAAATGAAATAGTGTCCTAATTTTATATGCATTTATTTTCATAGAGCAAATTATTTGTATAATATATAATTCTAAAAAGGAGAAAATGAAAAGTGAATCTTTATATGTAAAAACCCATTATGGAATCATAGTTAAAATGTTACTGGTGTGAGAAGAATATTTTTGGATACTTTTGATGTGTTAAATAAAGTTATAAGTATTATGATTTATCTTACCTATCTGACAGCAATATCAAAGCAAATTCTCAAATTTTATCAGGGCTAGAAGTGTAGAATTGTATTTGTTGCTGGCAAGAGCGTTAGGATCCAATACTACTATGGCCAGTGCTGCTATCCCATTTTTGAAGGAAAATCCCTGTGGCACATGCCCAAGAGTCTCCCATCCTTCTTTCTCTACCACCAAAGTGCTTGAAAGAAGTTTTAGCTTTCAATATTTTAAGTGCCCATGCCACAAATATGCCATATGCTTATAAACATCCAAGCTTGCTCTTGGATTTGACCTTGAGTCCAGCAGTACCGTAGGCAGCAACACTAACAACTATATTAACCAGAGCAGCAAAGCTATTAATAAAATTTTAATTCAGTAGAATTTGAATAGCTGACGACTGCTTAATTTACAAATGCTTGTAATCTGTGTCATTTTTGGATTGTAGACAAAAAACTATTGATTTCAGAAAGTTCAGCATAACAAATTTAATGATAGTTGTTTCTGTATATGCAGTACATTCTGTAAGAAAAATGCCCTATATTTATAACATATTTTGATTGAAGAAGCAATTCTTTTATTACTGAAGTTATTTAGTATTTTCTACACATGCTAAATAGGTGCTAAATTTTCTGCAAACTCCTTTTGTTTTGTAGTGAACATGGATTGTAAATCTATGCAAATGTTTCATTTTAGATAAATCTTTCCATTTGGATATGTATTCCATTGTATTTTAGAACTAGTATTGTGTTTATATGATTAATAAAGAATTTTGTTTTTCCTAATATTTCAGACACTTCAAGTTCCGACTTAAATGCACCTAGTAGTGTTTACATTTTTCATAAGGATCAGGGATGTTATATGTGTTAAATAGAAATAGTTTATTAAAAGTAGCACTTGTACAGATTTTTTCTAGCATCAAAAATAGAAAACATGGTAAAAAATAGCTTAAGAACTTTAATATTTTAGCAGTTTTTAATAACTGTTAATAGTCTTCAAACTGGTAAAGAAACACATGAATGTAAAATTTTAAATTAAGCAAAAAAAAAAAAAAAAAATCTTAATTTAACATAGATTTTAAAAAAATCCCTCTTCTCACAAATAAGAGGGTGATTAATAGGGACCTGTGTCTAGTCACCTTCAATATCTTTACTCTTTTATTCAAAATCTGCACCAATCTTTTTTTTTTTTTTTTTTTTTTAATTTTAAATGATAGTAATGCTATTTATTCGTGTGCAGAACTAATGGTGAAGTTTGTATAAATATTAAATTTAAGGAAAATCTTACTGTAAAGGTTCTTGTAAATAGTGTATTTATTTGCCTTTTTATTTTTTCTTTCATTTAAGAATTACTTTGAATGCAATTTTAGTGGTGAATATAACATTTTCTTTAACAGAAACTATTTTAATGCATTAAAAAAGTCACGGGGAAAGTATTTTTCTTTCCCCCACCTTTAATCTCCACTACAATTTTTTTTTTTGGGGGGGGGGGGTAAAACATATAATAGTTATTTCACAAAGCTGTTATGAAAACATATAACAGATTTGTGCTCCATAGATCTTTATAATATAATTCCTAAAGTATGGAGGCCCACCAGGGGCTGAGTGGTTAAGTCGCTGAACACTGGTAGTTCGGTCCGAGGTTTGAATCCCACGAACGGGCTGGCTGCATGGGGATTTTGTGGTTTTCCCCGTGTGTAACGTGTATACGAGCCAGTTTTCCCTTAGAAAGTCCTCTACAAAGGCATCCCTCCCCTTAGACAGATAACCCTTGAGGCTTTGCCATAATTAAATAACCTAACCTAAAGTATGGATATGTTTTGGTAGTTACATATTTGCAGAAAGTATAACTGTAATGTAAAACTGAAACAATAAAAATGGTAAGCTAAGAAAGATGTTACCTGTTATCTGCTAAATTCTGTATTCCACATAACTTTTAGTCTCAAATGGGTAGATTATAGGAATTATACTGTATTGGATCATCCAGAATTTTTTTTATTTATGTGATGAATAAAAATGAAGAAAATTATGAATCATACAGAATTAACATACAGAAACATTAGAAAATTAGGTTGAATTGCATAAGCAGCATTTTATTCTAGTACTTTTTTTCCATTTCTCCAGCAGCAGAAAAATTCCTTTTTTGAAAAACTCATTAGGTTTTTCTTCAAAAAGTTATTGAAATGCTGTTTGAAAGTCCCAAAAGAAGTAAACTCCAAACTGTTCAGAGAATTTTAAAATGACATGAGAAGAGGAAACTCTGGAAAAGAGGAAACTGACATGAGGAGGGGACAAGGTGTAGTGAATATGGGAGGTTACACTGAACATGACAGCCATGCTCAATAAGTCTTTATCCAAAATTTATCAAAATGTTGGAATGAACATTTTAATGATGGAAAACAACACTGTGAAAATTGGTCAATTCTGGACACTTTGTTTCAATTTCTGCTTTTAAAATTGCCGTTTGGAGACACTATTTTTCTGAATTTATTGGCTGATTTGGAAATAACAGTTTATAATGTACACCATTTCTTTGTAGTTCTACTGGTACTTACGGATTAACGCCACCGCAGCAGTAGTTGCGCTGATGCGCCAATAACAATCCTGTTATTCGCACATTGTTATCTTTTGGATTCCTTTTTGCCTTGTTTGCTAAGTTTTGACACCATTTTTTAGTGCTACGAAAATGCGTCTTTGGGATTTGCCAAACACAGAAGAAGATGCAATTCTATTTTTCCGGGGCGAAATATTTTACCAAAAAAACGAAAATGTGCCAATTTGCATGATATGAAACTTTATTTTGGTAAACGTTTGTTTTGGAAATGTAATTTAAGACAGTGTGATCAGCAAGTGGGACTTAGAAAAGGCAACTGTTATGAAAGAAGCAGAATTCCATTTTGTTCAGCTTTGAGATTTATATACTGCTGGTGCGAGGAGTTTATGTCAATTAAATGAAAAGCAACTTGATTTATCGGATAAAAGTGTTATAGATTGGAACAATTACATGTGTGAATTATGTGTCTTGGATATGGCAAATAAACCAAACAAGAAGGTAGGTGGACCAGATTGCACTGTGGAAATTGTTGAAATTTTTTTATTAAGTGTAAAAATATATTGTGGTTGAGTATTACCCGAACAGTGGGTATTTGGTGGTATTTGTAGAGAAACGAAAGATTCGTTTGGCTCTACCCTTCTTAATAAAATTATTGAAAACATTGCAGATGGTAGCACAATTTATTCTGACAGTTGGAAGGATTACCATACAAACAGAATAGAAAAAGAAAGATTCCTACATGCTAAAGTTAATCATAAAAATAATTTTATTGATCCTGATACAGGCGTTCATACACAAACAGTTGAGAGAATGTGGGGCAGTACTAAATGGAGGAACAAAAGATATAAGGGGACAGCGAGACATCATTTAGAATCTTATTTAGCAGAGTTCATATGGTGACAGCATCAGGTCAAAGAAAATAGAGACTGTTTTGAATTTATGCTAAACTCTATATCGGCCCATTTTCCACCGAAATCCAATTGACTACTTTGTTTTTAAATAAAGTGTTTTAATTTATGATTTGTCGCCAAAGTTTTAGGTGT